TCGGGGTTTTTTTTTTTTTTTTTTTTTTTTTTTCATCTTTTGGGAATACCGGTCGCTCGTCGGTGGGTACCCCGCCCGACGCGGCGCGTTAACGGCCACGTCAGCTTTTTCAAGCTGGGCGAGGTAATGTTGGTTTAAAAGAATTAGCCTTTGGAAAGAAAAAAAAAAAGAGCAGCCCCCGCTAGTTTGCAGCCCGTAGGGGCTGCGTTTACCCCCGTTGTCTTTTGCCGTTTTGTGTCGTGGGCTGCAATGGTTTTCGGGCGTGTACCGGTAGTCAGGGCGTTGGGAGGTCATCCGATAGGGGGAGACATTAAGAAGAAGGGATTAAAGGCGTGGGAAATCATCTTGCTACCAAAGTACAGGGTAGGCGCCCAGAATTAGAACAGACGGGCGGTGGAGGCCAGTCATTTATGAGAACGGGTGCGGAAGGGGTTTTGTCGGGCCATGCTTCATCATTCAGTTTTCCATTTTTCTCCAATTAGGTGGCGCCTTTGTGAAGGCACAATCTGTCTGCCGGATTCGTGAGGCTGCGTCTGACTCACATGTGGAGGTGAGTTCAGAAGAAAGCAGAACGCACGGGGCCGGTATTTTTTGTTCTTTTCTTTTTCTCAAAATTTCTTTTTCTCAAAATTTCTTTTTCTTTTTTATTTATTTTTTAAGGGATGAACTTGATGAGTAAAACCAAATATGTTGGTCAATTCTTGCTTTTTCCCAAAATAAAAATAAAAATCTGAAATCCGGGCCCAAGTCCCACCAGCAGCATCCAGTTTCCTCAACGCCTGAATCTGGACGTTTTTGTGGAGATGTGCAGAAATTGGGTTGCGTTACCTCAAGGGCACCTCTCTCCACAAACACATCCAGATTCAGGCGTTGAGGAAACTCAACGCTGCTGGTGGGACTTGGCCCCCGTGGGGCCGGTCAGCGCAATGATGATATCTCAAGGTCGTCGCCCTTTTTTATTTTTTATTTTTTTTAACACAATATATGGTATGGACTATTTCTCAATTTATACGGATGTCCGGAAGGACAGGCTTGCCTTTTCTCATTTGTCCATGTGCCTTTTCAGTCTGGGACCCGTGTGCCTGTTGCTGCATGTCGTAGTCAATTAGTTCAGACTGAGAGGGTGTAGTTGGGCTGTTGAGGGCAGGCTTCGGGGACGAGTGGGGAGGATGTGGTCGCTGCATGGAACCGTGCAGTTGTGTCATGTGATGGCAACTATGGCCTGTGAGCCCGCGTCCTAGCGGTATGTCAGTAGTTGGTTCTGGTTGCTCCATCTATTGGTGGGGAGCTGCACCTGCTGGGAATCGTCCCCCGAGTCCCCACACAGTGATTGTCTCAGAAAGGGCTGCGAATGAATAGGCATTTTTCACCCGCCAGCAGTGATTGCCCCGGGTCCTCCGGGGGATTGACTGCACGGGCTACTGACTATCCCCACTGTCCTCCCCAAGGTGAAGACTTGAATGCCGTTTGCCTCATCAGTTGCCCTGCGCGCCGCCACCAGATTATCGTGATGCCTGAGCCATAAGCACGCCTTCTTTCCCTTGCCCTAAGAGGTGAAGTCTTGGGTCACGGTTGCCTTTGTCAAGGGGCCTGCGAGTACTTCCTTCATGTAATACACCTGTTGAGGGATATGCCAAAACCAACACCGCCCGAGCTTAGTTGGTACACCCATGAACTCTTGAAAAACCGAAGTTCGAATCCAGATGCAATCAGATGAACAAAATAAAATATAGAGGTGTCAAGACCGTCGCCCTTTTATTAGTAAGAGAAATAAGCAGGGATGGAGCAGTGGCAAATCCTCCCAATCGGGTAGTCGTCAGTGCCACAGTCTCCGGATCCCTCGACCGTAAGGGGTAGAAGTGTTGAGTGAGTACATCTGATGTATGGGAAACTGCACCCGGTTTCCACCATCCACCATCATTAATACAAAAACAAAATTCGACTCTTGTATTAAAAAAAAAAAGAAAAAAAAAAAAGTATATGGAAGAAGAAGAGTACACTCACATCACACAAAGGAAATGAGATTAACTCAGCAAAACATGCATACAGTAGTTGTCATGAATCGGCTACCCCGACATGTTTCGCCCACCGCCACATGGTCTTCTTCAGGGGGGTTTCACCTCTTGTCAGCTTTTTTTTTTTTTTTTTTTTTTTTGAGGACTTCCCCGGCTAGGGATGCTGATAAGAGCAGGCACGCCTAGCACCCCCGAGGAGGATCAATCTATTGGTGGGGAGCAGCACCTGCTGGAAAACGGGTCCAGCGTCCCAGAACATTATATCATTTCGTGGACATCTGAAAGCAAGAGCCTAAGAGCTCTCAGGTTGAGTTCTCAGTCAGAATCATCATAGCTGACATTCATAATTACGATGCTTATCAGGGTTGAGACCCTCAATTTCATGATATTTCCAGAGGCTTAAAAAAAGCTCTCAACATACCTGTCACAACATAAGCTCGATAAGGAAGATCAATAAGTCATGATCATGACATATAATCTACAATAATAACTTCCATAATAATCTCGAATTACCCGGGGCCGGTCACCTGTGGATATATCTCAAGACTCCCGCCATTTGAAAAAAAAAAAAAAAAAGAAAGAGCCTAGATAAAGATTGACAACTTGACACCATTTGTTCTTGTGTGCTTTTCTGTTCTTGTTCGTTTGTGTGTGTGTGTTTGTTTGTGTGTGTTTGTTTGGTGAAGGTTATTTCAATATCCGGTCAAGAGCCTCTGGTGACTCGCCTGTTGATTGATGCTATGGGTCATGCATCCCCAATTGTACGCCAGGTAGGCCATCAATCGTCACCTTAATGGAACAATTTGGTGGGGACAGGTCTGTGGCAAGCATAGTCATCTCAGTGTTGTAACTCCAAAATTCAAATGCAGCGAGAGTTTCGGTGGATGAATGTTAATTGATATATTTCAACTATTTTTCTATTTTGTTTATTTATTTATCTACTCGTTATATTTTGTGTTTTGCCCCCATAATTCGGGGCAATTTACGTGCCACCTCTGCGATTTCTGATATTTATGGCACAACCTTCTGATGCAAGTTCAAATTTGCAAAACAAAGATCGCATCATCTGGGCCTGTAATGCTTTCATTGTCGGGCAGAACTCAATGCCTGCGGGGATAGGACCATCACCGCGATTGAGGCAACGTTGATGGCTCCTTGTTATGAGTGTGGAGCAGCACCTGCTGGAAACCTGATCCAGCATCCAAATAAACAGAGCGGACAAGCAGCAGTGTCGGAAACTGGGTGCAGCTATCAGACTTTCTCTGCTTTTGACCTAGTCTAGGCATAGTCAGTAGTACTCAGTACTGATCAGTACTTTCTAGCATCAGATCCATCCATGCAAGCATGGAAATGAACCAGCACCCTTAGCCAAAAGAGCCAGGTCTCTCAAACCACCAGTTCTTGGGCCAGCTATCGGCCGCGGAAAAAAATAGAGTAGAAATGTTTCTAGTCGGATGAATTTGGGTGCTCCTGTAGTGACCCGTATGTTTCCTAATTTGTGGCTTGTACACGGGCACGACTTTAGGAAGTACGGGTGGTTTAACCACTACAGCCCTGACACGGTGTAAAGGGTGGAACCATACTGGGTCATGATATCCACCCCACCCCTGAATGGCTGTAGTGTCATTCACTCGCTCGCACATGCACACTTAAACCACGCAGCAATTCACACACACGTAGCTCCAATCCAGCACATGATCCTCCCACCGTTCCTGACCATTCACCGAATGAGACGACCATCCCTCACCAGTTAACAAATGCTTCGACAGCCAGTGCTGATCAGTACTTCGTAGCCTCGGATCCATATGTGCACGCATGGAATCGAACCGGCAACCTCAGCCACAAGAGCTAGGTCCCTTAACCACTAAGGCCATGACATGGTGTGGGAGATGGGACCACACCAGCCATGATGTCCAACTCACCCCTGCATGGCTGCATTGTCCTTCACTCAGTTGCAACCGCACACAACACCACACAGGCAAATCCAGCACATGCTCCTCCCATCATTTGTGCCCACCAAATGAGACCACAATGCCTCACCAGTTATCAGGTGCGTTCACAGTCGGTATTGATCCATCCATCCACATCATGGCTGTAGTGGCTAAGAGACCTGGCTCTGGTGGGTAAGGGTGGTCTCTTAACCACGACATCCACGACACTGTGTAAGAAGTGGGACCATACCGGTAAGCTCTGGAGTGGGAGGTGCAGGTCCTAACTGCTATGAAGCCCCTCTACCCGCTTTAGTATGACAAATTTGCCACCCTCATCAGTGCAATGCTCCCAGACCTCAGATCAGCATCTCATGTCACACCAAGAGGCACACTTCCGCACACAAGAGTTGGCAACCAAAGCACGAGATATGATAACTGTAAATCGTTCGGAAATCAAATTTGTATGTACCAAGATGGGTGGCTATCGCCGCCAGTAAAGTCAACCCTGTCGGACGCCAACAAGAATGGTCATGGGATCGCCCTCACCCGGTGAGGGGTCTAGTGAGTGAATATACTGGAGGTCATCACCATTGTCACCATCATCATCATTATCATTATCATTAATAACAGTAGCATAGGGATTTGCTGCAGTATCACCTTGGGCCCCACACGGTCTTAGCATGTTCCCAAAACTGACATGTTTGGTACTTGCAGTGCGAGCACATATAACCTCGCCATCAGTACAGCTATATTAGCAAGGGATGCTCGTATCACCCTGGCTAATATAGTCTGTAAATGTCTTAAAAAAAAAAAGTGAAAAAAAAAGTATCATAATACAATCATTTCATGTGGTTGGCATTGGCTCACACCCGACCCCTCCCTATGCAGTCTCCGCATGGCAGTGATATTGCATCCTATCATCCCAGAATCATCATTGCTATCATGGCATGTGGTTTGCATCAGCCTGCACCCGACCCGTACCTGTGGAGCTCGGCATGTTTCCATGCCAGTGGTATGGCAAGCTGCCATCCCAAAGCCATCATTGTGATGTCAATTTTACCAATTTATTCTCATTATCATCCATTGTCAGCTTGATTGGATAATAGTAGGCAAGATTTGGGAAGGAGTCCTTGGCCTATGACCAGGGGTATGGTGTGAGGTAGAGGACGTCAATTCAGGGTCAACATGCGAAAGCAGCAGGATTCCCCCTTCAGAATGACACCAGAAGCCTCGGCTGTTTAATGAACAAAAAAAAACGAAAAGGAACCCTCCCAACCATGTTATGGAGTAGCAACATGACTTGCAAAACCGAAACACCCAAAATGAAGCCACCCAGATCATGTGTCAGCCAATGTAGCATGCTGAGGCCTCTACACAGGGCCCCTTTCGGAGGGCCGACGGTTCGTTTGGCTCCCAGGCCGCGCACCCATTCTGGATGGGCAATCTGGCAGGCCAGGGCTATTTTTTTGGCCCAGGCATACATTTCGGCCAGCTAGTTTGTTTTTGGGTTCAGCAGTTATTTTGTTTGTTTATTTAGTTATTTAGTTATTTAGTTATTTAGTTGCTGAGTCTTGTCTGGTCCGTTTTTGTCTGTCCTAGGTGTGTCGTTTTGGGCTTTTCCATTGTCCGAACAGACCGGTGGACCACGTCTTAGGTCAGAGGTCACTAGGTCGTAGGCAGGACTGGGTCCACGTGCTTGTCCTTTTTCGCCTGGCCCAGTCCACAGGCTCCTGCAGTACCTGCAGAGGGCCTGGATTTCTGGTAGGGACCCAGGCAGCCCGTTGGTTCATCCTGTTTGCAGGACCAGGACTTGGGCCTGCGATCAGGACCGCTGAAAGGGAAGAGGACAGGATGTCACGGTTTCAAGAAAAGCAGCTTGTGACCCCGAAAAGAGTCAGAATCATTCGAGGATGGGAAAAAAGAGGATGAAGACAAAGAAGAAAATTATCTTCAGTGGTTGAGGGACTCTGGGGCTCGTTAGACACTCCTCGGGCCGTCCTCGGGGCCCGAGGAAATTTTCTTTTCGTCGCCCGAGGAAATTCCCGCCGTCATTCCACTCATCCTCGGAATGGTCCCCCGAGGACGATCCTCGGGGGCTCCCGCGGCCAACTTCATATATCGACAAGCGGACGCTGGGGGGGGGGGGGGGGGTGAGGGTCCAGCGAGCTGTGGTCCAGTTCGGGTGGGCGTTGCAAAATCGAAAGTCGGCGGTCTTCAAAAAAATGAGGGCAATGGAAAAGGCGCGCAGTTCCAGATATCGACAAACGAAGGGTAACGTATTTCGTCGCGGAAGACACTGCGCAATTGGGAGAGCGGGGGCCGGCAAAAGTATTCGAATCTGCGGACCGTTGGGCGCCTTCCTGCTCGGGCCAAGGGCACTGACGCAAGACAACCCCTTCTAGACGTCGTGGAGGCCGGCAGGCCGGCAACGGTGACCGTTGGCGGACAATTCCATCACGCCGAACGTCGCCGACCAAAGATGTTCGTCGACAGGACGCTAGGAACAGCAATGGACCAGTTGAGTTCGAAAATTGTCGTCGAGAGAGCTGCCGTCGACGCCCCGATTCTTCCAGATGCTTGACCTCCAAGGGACCTCCGGAGGTCCCTTGGGGAACGCGTCGAAATGGCTGTAGCCCAAGGAATCCCCGAGGAAATGTTTTCACTTTTTTTTTTTCAATTTCTTCCCCGAGGGTAAGTGGAACGATGAATTCCTCGGGGGATTTACGCGCACGAGGAGTGTCTAACGAGCCCCTATGTCAAAGTACTGAGAGGGAAAGAGAAGTGGAATTCGAAATAAGAATAGCCCACAAAAAAAAACCTCTTCAACCTGCAAAATATCAACCACAATCAATGGTCAACAATCAGAAGTTTTCCCACGCAAACCAATTTGAGATTCTCGAGAAGGAAGAGGAATTGTCCAACTTCTTTGCAAAAAGATACGGCCACAAATTGATTGAGATGTCATCCCAAAGCCACGCTGATAGTTAACCTCTACACCTGGTCCAAGTCTTACTCGGCATCAACCAACAGACAATCGGCCAAAAGGGCAAAGGGTCCCATGGGTAGAGCTCAAAGGAGTACACCCGCCATCACAAGGGAAGAGACAGAAGTAGGGGAAGAGATCAAACTCAGCACAAAGGAAGATTTTGACAGACAAAGTGAAATTCTCAAAGCCCAAATCGCAATCTTCAGGGATACAATAGAAGGCACGGTCAATCTGCAAGACAGGCTGCAGGAAAGTGCACAAAAATATTCACAGCAGCCAGACTTGAAACAAAAAAAGACTGCAAGAAAAGGATAGTGATACCATACAGATGGAACGAAGCTCATAAGGATTGGAAAGTAGCTATGAACAAGGATTGGTCTCTAATAGCGTTAGCCAAACCTTCAGAGAAAATGATGTTGGCTGAAGTGTAAGGGACCGCTCCGTTGGAGTCCCAGATACAGGGTCCCAGAAAGGAATGGAGAGAGGAGTGGTTCAATTCTTCAGGAGACATCATGACGAGCGAGTTGAGACCTTTCATGGCCTGGTACTAGATGGAGGCTCACCTTTTTTTTTTTTTTTTTTTTTTTTTTGAGAAAAAGCCCGAGTGAATGCTAGGGGTGTTGATAAGAGCAGACACCGCTAGCACACTCGGGAAGGCTCCATCTATTGGTGGGGAGCAACACCTGCTCGAAATCGGGTCCAGCGTCCCTGTAAACAACCATATGTCATAAAACGTGCCACGTGTCACAACCTACAAAAATCCTAATCAGTCGGTATGCGAAGACGTAAGCACGCACCATTCAACGCGATGAGCAGCATTGATTGCCCTCCGTCCGAGGGGATTAACTGCCCA